AAATATACAAAAGAAAGGTACCTGTTTGAAGCCACAAGACCAGGTTCAAGTTCTGAGTTTGGTATGTGTAAGAGTGACATGTCTCCTCCCTATGTCTCACTGGTTTCTTCATTGTTGAAAATAATTTTTTCGCTGAAACACCAAAGAGATGTTTTGGAAATTAAATACAATATGTACCAAGTGAAGTATAAAGCACTACACACATTTAAACTTACATTAAATAGTTACTTTCATCTTATCACAATAGAAGGATTGCATACATTCATATAAGCTTAAGTGGCAAAGTTCACAAAAGGGGAAATGGATCTTTTTGTTTTAGAGGGAGAGAGAGAGAAACATCTATTGGTTGCCTTCCATACATGCCCTGACCGGGATGGAACCTCCAACCTTTTGGTGTACGGGATGATGCTCCAACCATCTGAGCCACCTTGCAGGGCAGAAAATATTGAAATATTTGTAAAATATTCTTATAGATGTATTTTAGCATGGACATGGATTGTCTTCCTTTAGTGTTTCATTGTCTTAAGTTCTAGTGAAATGATAATTTTATATTTTGACAAAATGATGGCAAAGCCTTGCCTTTCTTGCTCATAATAGCTATCCATCTGAAAAAATGATTGTTTAAGTTACTGTCTAATGTTGAATCACACAACAGTGACCTCCAAATCATAAACATCTCATGTGGAGCAAGTTATTTTCTAGATATATTGGAATTTCCCTCCAAAGTACCATTTGTATGTTAAATTCAAAGTCCAATCTACTGGAAAATAGCTACTGCCAACAAACAAAATAAGACATTTCTAACACCATCTTTAGTTTTACACTAAATTTGAAGTTACATAATCTCCAGGTGACATTTCCTCAACACCTGCTGTCTATACTATGTTTTAAAAATATATCAAGTTTTCTAATTAGGCAATTCTGTGCATGTGCTTGTAACCAGAAAAGTTGTACCATAGAATCATGACTTTTTAAACCAGTTTAATGACTATTTAATAGACAATATTGCAACTGCATTTAATTATTTGTATATTTGTAGAATCAATAGAATAAATACAGTTCCTCATGTTGTGACCCAACCATAAAACTATTTTCGTTGCTATTTCATAACTGTAATGTTGCTACTGTTATGAATCATAATGTAAATATATGATATGCAGGATGGTCTTAGGCGACCTCTGTGAAAGGGTCCTTCGACTGCCAAAGGGATTGCGACCCACAGGTTGAGAACCGCTGGTCTATAGTGATTTGAATATATTTTTAATTTATTAAAACATTTAGTACCTTTAATGTATTTTTCCTTTAAAATTTTTACTGGTATGTGTTTAAGTTGAAATACCCTATGTGAATTGAATATGCATTCACATTGTGGAATCTATCTTTTCAGATAATTTTTTTTTTAGTAATATAATTGCCTATAGGTAGACATTATATGTATATATACAAAAGTAAAAAACAACCCTGAAACCTGTGAACTGGAAATACCTTTAGAGCTAATTTTTCCTCAAACTGTAAAGGAGTTAGGCAAAAAACGCAACTTTTACAATGTATTTCTCCAATAAATTACTTCCCTTAGAAGACTGATACAGGGAACAATGAAACCGGAGGACAAACAGGTAGGCATGACTTATGAAATCATGGCATTTGGGGAGTTAGGAGAGAGCATGAACCTCCATTTAACCTCCTCTCTGACTCTCATGTGTCTTAAAAAAATGTGCCGAGGCAGTTTCATTTAACCGGCTCATTTTAAATTGTTCCTTGAGGCTGATTTTGTAAAACTTCTTTGATATTTTATAGTCGTACAGTTTTATGAGCACCATAAATGCCACAAGCCTCAGAAATGGCATAGCATT